TATTAAAGGCTGTTAATGTATGTAGGTATGTAATGTATTTAGGCAATTAAAGATCTTCACAGATAAGCCCTATTTTAAACAATTTAGTAGTAGGTGTGTGTCACTGCTGTGCGTCTATCAAGTGTAAAGTCATTTGTGTAACCGTTACACATATGACTTTACACTTGATAGACGCACAGCACAACAGCCACTAACTAGCCCAGAATTAGCGTAGAGCAAGATTGTATTTTTTTTAATTTACATAAAGGGTATTTCTGTTTTATGTTAAACTAGTGAGCCGCCCTGGGCTCGCACGGAAAGTAGAGCATATTATGCCTAAATGTTTTTTCTGCCGTAGGGTCTCATCAGCCAGTTGCGTCAAATATGCGGTTAACATTTGAATGTAACATATTATTTCTACAAATAAAGCTCCTAGACTGCTTGATTTCTCCGACATTTCCAACAATTGTCGTCATATTTCATTCAATTTACACGAAAAGTTAAGAAATCAGTTTATCGTAAATACTAAATATCGTGTTTGTGGCGTTGTTAATGTTTTCACACTCTTAAACGTATCTCATGAATCACTCTGTATATTGGTGAAAACTGCAATAACATCTGTTCAGTAGTTCAGTTAACAGACATCCAACAGGACCTGATGAAAAGTGACCGCCCATGAACCGCCCTTTTAGGAAGGAGTACGCTCTTTTCTTGAAGGTTTGAAGATCGTATCGGTCCGGAAATACCGCAGACGATAACCCGTTCCACAGATTGGTTGTGCGCGGCAAAAAGTGTCTCGAATAGCGCAAAGTAATGAAGCGCCAACTATCCAGGGGATAAGGATAAAAAAAAACATATAGTATTCCATATGCGGCGGGACTTGCAACTTATAGAGCTGAAGGCGGCGGGCCGGAGTGAAATACTGCCTTGATCTGTTCAGAACACCAAGCTTCTTCGGGGCCAATATGACCTTACACTCTAAGTGACCCCGAAACTGGACTTCGCTCGATATGTCGTTGCCTAGCATTCCGATGCTGGCTGAGGCAGTTAGGGAAGTGCTCTCAAACCGAGGTGATGCGACAAATGGTATCTTCTTTGCGGTGAACGCACAGATCTGTGTCTATTTTGGATTGAACTGGACTAGATTTAGTCATTTTAGACTTAGATTTAGATGTTATTTAACTACTTAAGTATTTTTAAGCTTTCAACAGTTAAGCCATCAAATTCTCTCTTACCGTTGGAAATACTTTTAAGCAAATTGCATTTTAGGCGCGTTTTGCCTATCAATGCTTAGCAAAATCTTTACTCTCTCTACACAATCTACACATGGGTCTCCATTGACTACAATAAATGCTACAATGTCGAAATATTTTACCTGAACTTGCAGGTCAACGTCTATAAAAAATGTGCATCTTCCGTAGTCTAAAACCATGAATTTCGTCACCGTTCGGTCATTGCCGTGACATTTATTTTTATTGCAGCAAAGTAAATTAAAGCAAAATATCTCAGAAGCTCCATCAATAATACAGGAAATAAAGTTTCCTGATCTAATTAGATTCTAGCACGATCGTAGCGTAAACACGCCGACGCAATAAGCCGGCTCAAATATTACTTTTATAGTCTATCTAAGGTTTCTACTGTGTTAGTCGCAACTTGCCAGAATTGCAAAGGTTAGGAAAACCAAAAAAGAATAATGCAATATAACTAAAACAAAGACTAAAGGTATTGTAAATGTAAGCATTGTGTTAAATTAGTACTGTTGTCGTAAAACCCATGTTGAAACAATTACGTACATTTTAACGGTATGACAAGTATTTCATAAAACATCTATTATTTATTACCTAACCATAAGTGCACCTACCTCACTTTTTCTTTTCATCGCCCAATTGGTCGACTGGCAGATAATGCTTTAGAATTCTCTACGCCGAAGCATTTAGTTGTGCATAAAGTTATAAATAAAATACAAATGAAAAGATTAAGATTGAGTTTATCGGAGTACCTAGACCAAATTGAAACAATTAGGTACTATACCTAATCAATATCACGATCGCACACAGGCCGTTTCAGAAGTAGAAGACTGAATTGGAATACTATCTAATAGATTGCAAGAAAGGAATGATTAAAAAGTAGAAAACAATTTATTTTTAACCGTTTCATGTTATACCAAAAATTTCACTGACAATTATAAGTCCGATCGGCACTATAGTGTTTACTCAGGACCAATAGAGCGATGACCTGAAAAAGATAATCTAAATTACACTAAATATGTCAACAATAAGATACTTTTAAAACTAAAGTCAATAATATAATAATGAACAAGCTCCCCTGTGTAAAACGTTTCCTTTATTACTTAAAACTTGATCTACTTAAAGAAATTTCACAACCTGCTCATTACATGTATTTAGTCCACTAGCAATTATATAATCAATACAGGGCTTCCCCATACGACTTGACAACAAGTTTCAAATCGCCCCTTAAAAGGACCCCTGCAATATAATATGGGCGACTTCCGGGCGTCGGCACACCCTTCTCTTTCTCAGCCTTGGGGAACTGCCACCCGTTTCGTCATTTTGTAAATATAATCTATCGATTCAGACACAGCAAGTTCATCGTACGAGGATGAAAAAATGTTTAGGGTAAACACCCTCATTTTTTAACTCAGGACACGAGGTAGTCTAATCGACTAAAATCACACCAGGTAACTAAGATATCATGTAGTTTGTATGCAAAATCCCGCGAAGGTGACCTTAGGTGATAGGTGGTTCTTAACTGTTTAAAATGTTTTTAACAAGTAACCAAGTATTTAAAACTTTATGATATGATAAATTAATTCACTCTTACGGAATAGTAACTAAACTTTTCAATAAGAATAATAGTTTACAAAAGATAGGAAACAATAAGTTTACGATTGAGCAGACGAATTGGAGAAACACTGACAGACTTGATCCCTAGACTAAGCTCCTTTAGGATGATATTTGCAACTAACACGCCTATAAATTCGAAACGTAAAATAAATTAAATTAAAATTAAATTAAATTCTTAAGGTTAGACCATTTGACATTCATTTTCTTATTCTATTTTTACTTCCATGTGTTTAATGTATGCATTTATTTAATAATAATTATTTTAATTTAGTCAAGCGTCCTAATTTTTAACCATTTTTATATTATTTGATTAATAATGTAATGTGATTTAAATTTGCATTTCAATATTGACGAAATGTGTGATTCAGTACTCCATGTAACATCCATAAATGTACCACATTTTTTGCAAATAAATTATTCATTCTAAAAACATTAATGACCTACAGAGTATTGAGGCACCAAGACCACATCGAAGATTGACTTTCTAACATAAGACCAAATATTAGCGCAACACTTACCACTTAAAGTCCATTAAATAACAAGAATGACATCGTCAAATGAACAGCTGTTGTGTGAATGACGCCAAAATTACGCTTTGACACATTTGTCCTACACTGACACCTATGTATCAGTGTGTCATAGATCTATATCTATGAGTATTATTTTATCTTTGCAAAATTATCATAGTTCATAAAACTTATACCAATTGCCCCAATACCAGGATTACCATCAGGGAAGTTATTAAAACGCCAATGAAACTATTTTCTATTCTTACAGTGTATTATTAGCGACTATATACCTTTTTCTAATATTATTACATAAACACTGTCTTCTAGACTGAAATATCTCTCTCTCGTTTTCACCTTAGATTTGTTTAGTACACACAAGATAGCCAATAAGATTTTGATTACAAAAATGATTATGCCTTATATGCAAAGAAATTTTGTAGAATAAAAAACATTCAGTTTTCAAAAATTGTGACGGAATTTACGAAAATTCTGTGAAAAAAAATATGTTTTTTTTTTAAAGCTGGAAGCTATTTTACCCAGATTGAAAAATTAAACTAAATGGACCTGGTGAAGGTCGCGGCAGCCGTTGGTTGCGGGCAGCACAGGACCGCTTGTTGTGGAGAGTATTGGGGGAGGCCTATGTCTAGCAGTCGACGTCTTTCGGCGGAGACAATGACGATGATGAACGAACAAACAAACTGTTTGAAGGAAGTTGCAGCACTCACTAAGTACCCTAATTGCCCTACTCTAGGAGGATTAAGATCCTCCCCGAATTGATACCATGCCTAATCAGGCCCCATCCCAGGGGAAAACATTTCCCAATTGCGTCTTAATGCAATTAGGCCGCCATCCTTTCCCCTACCGCAGCAATAAATCTGCCACCAGAGATTCATACTCTCTGGCGGCCTGCGGCCGCGTCAACGGCTTTACGCTTTACTACTGTCCTTTACGCTCAGGATTGGCCCTGTCCCGAACCCGTTTAGCCGTCTCTTTCTGGAGCATTACAGCTTTACAGAAAGAGACCACTGCCCATCATTCCTCCTTAACCGCCAGCATGGCAGCAATGATTACTGGCGGGGACAAGTCTCGTTCGATTTGGTCGACCAGGACTTGGCGTTCAGACGGCCAGAGGCAGTCTTTCAGCGTGTGCTTGGCGGAGTCCCAGTCGGCTGCACTGTGCTGGCCTTGTGCCGTCTCCTCGCGTCCGATACGATTGAGGTACTCACCGAACCAACCATGCCCAGTGAGTACCTGCGTCAGTCGGTAGGTAACGCGACCTCCCTCTCTACCTATCTAAACTATCTCTATGCCAAATTTAATTTAAATTGACACACATGTGATTATTGATATCTCATACAAACTTTCACCCCCTTAAAGAATGATCTCTGAGATAAAACTCCTTGCCCGGGACTCACGCTATCTCTATATCAAATTTCATCTAAATCGGTTCGGCGGTTAAAGCGTGAAGAGGTAACAGACAGACAGATCAACAGGCAGACAGACACACTTTCGCATTTATAATACTAGTATGGAAGTATATAATCGTGGGTAGTAAATACACCATTATATAGGTAAGGATCCCGTAAAATTTTGGTAATTTGTCTTTAAAGAATATCCTTCTCCTCGTACGAAGTTATCTAACGAATTTATGCTAGCTACGTTAGTCTGCGTAAAATAATTAATTACTTTAAATATTACAATATATTGTTCAAAACAGTAGAAGATCGATGGTATGGCTAACGTCGTTCCGTAGCGTTTCGTTTATGGAGTGTATCTCGCAATTGAAATGAAAACGTTATAGCAGATCGAAGAGAAATGTTAACGAAACAAACTTCTACCGCGTTGATTCTATTCATCGCCTGTAAACCAGAGGGTTTAGGTAGACTCTCAAAAGCCTCAGGTAACTGTGAGTGTGGCCTCTAAATTCGTACTAGAGCATCTCACTTTTGACTGCCAAAGTTTATTTTCTTTAAAGTTTTCAGGTGACACCGGGCACTTGTAAATTTAAACTAATGCTTAAAAATAAAGATCGGAATACGAATTACGTATGAATATACGACGCAAAATAGACTTCTAATGACGAGTCTAATCGCTACTCAGAGCTCAGGCGTCGCAAAAATGCATTATAGAATTAAAACACCCACAGTTTCGACGCCTAGCTTCAAAAGCCGTTTCAATACGGAATAAAATATTTATAGTATTATTGGATAGAATCTATTACATGTTTATGTTAATTGTCAACAGAAGGATAAATGATTCCATTTGCTCTATGGAGTTGTATCATGTCTCGAAAATATAATCCTAAACCGTGATAAAGTGATGGGACGCTCTATTATAGTTTTATAAAAAAGTTAATATGAAATATTATTAACAATTCCTATTGCTTACAAGCTTGTAATTTAGCGACAAATATTAGCTTAACTGGTACTAGTATCGTTGAGTTAAAAATCACTATAGGCACATAGAGAGATTTAGATCTTTTTTACAGTTTCTCGTGCTTTTGCTGTTAAAAGCACTATTTAGTTAATCTCTAAAACAATTCAATAATTTATAAATATCACAATTTATGCTCTTCGCAATGCATGGTGGCGATCTAATTAATAATTAACGTCCCTTTGATAGTCAAAAGCTAGGTTGAGCAGTTGACGTTAGTTAGACTATTGTAACTAAGATAAATTCCACTGCTAAGGGTAAAAATGAAGAGATCGAGAATGCAGTTTATTATGAATTAAGTACCTATAAGTCGGTTAACCTTTATTTGTAATATTAATTATTATTACATTTTTTGTTCAGGAAATGCGGAGAAAAGGAGGCGAGCGAACTGGACTGCGTAGCAGTAGGTAGCAAACTGCGGGGCGCGATGGGGACCAGACCTCCGGCCAAATTTTGGCCGCAGCTCTGGGCTACCGTTGTCAGAAACCTACTGCTCAAGAAGCGAGATACCAGAAAAACCCTTGCTGTAAGTACTTAATGTTTATCATTCATTATTTCAGCGTTCGTCGATAAGCACAGAAAATAGAGACTATAATGGTGTAACGTTTCCATCTAGGTATAGGTATAAATGTTATGAAGTCAACTACGAGTATATACTACGCATATAGATATACATATTATTGCACTTACTGTTGTTGTTGTTACATGAAACTTTCAAGGTCTAAAGTTTTTGGAGTTATAATACTACAGATCCTAAGTTAAAGCATCCCTTATAAATAAACTCTTAAGAAATTAATTCAATTCAATTAAATAAAAAAAAATATCTAATCAGTTATCATTTAACATCATTTGTTTGATTTCTAGGAGGTGCTCGTCCCTTTATATTCTCTGGGCGTCTTAATATTCCTGAAAATGTTAATGCCAAACCCCAACTTTCCGGAGGTGCGGAAGCCAGGCCAGTTGTTAAGGATCCACCACGATGCATTCCCTGAAAACCATTCCGTCGCTGTAGTAGCAGATTGGCTAAATGCCAACGGGACTATGGTTAGTTTTGAGAAGTATTAGACACGTATGCATATGAAGTTATATCATTAACAAGCAAAGCTTTGGAATTCAATAATGTTCATACTAATTTTAGGGTTTCCTTGATGAAATAAACGCTATGCTGGCGGAGTCTCATCAACACCCGATCAGATGGATCAAATACAACAACACAACTGAACTGAACGACGCGTACCACAATGACGCTAAGAGTTTTCCCATCGCTGTCATCTTCCACACTGACCCCACCTCTACCACCGACCCTCTCAGGTACCATCTAATTATTGTCTTCAGGAACGTAGGTAAATCTAAGTATATGGAGACATTTTGCTCATCAAATATTTATCAGAGAAATTGCATATCGGACTTAAGGGAACTAAAACAACACGTACCATGACGATCTGGTGGACCATGCTAACGTACAAGTAGATCTATTCGAGGGCCCGGAGCGAAGTTCTTATAACTACTCTAAATTTGTGTTCTGCATACATTATTCTAGACATTATTTTCAGTGAATTAAAAACAATCTTGCAGATACACCATCCGAACAAATCCGTCGCATATTGGAACACCTTCAACGCGCACGCTTATGACCTCACCAGCTAAGTGCAGAGAGAGAAATGCCGTGAAAGACCAGCCCTTCGACTGGTCACGCGGTGGCCAACTTATTCCGCTCTCCGAGATGCATCGTGAAGACACCTGTCCCGTATTGCAGTACTATTACTCTGGATTCCTAGCATTGCAGACACTCATAGATTACATCAAAATTAAGGTAATAATTTAAATACAAACTGTAAAAGTATATGAGTCAGAGTTACCAATAGTATTAGTAGGTACATGATGACTATAAGTGTATTCATCAGTTCCCTTATCTCGTTTTTGATGATTTGACAGGTGGACACTAATGCAGCAATTCCGCCTCCCCGTATCGACCTTCGGCAATTTCCAAAACGCCAGCACACAGGTGACTGGTTGGTTATCTTTAGAGTCATAATGCCCATGTACATGGTGATGACTTTATCGCAGTTCATCACATACTTGCTCATGCTCGTCGTTGGAGAGAAGGAGAAGAAGATCAGAGAGGGTATGAGGATTATGGGCTTAAAGGATTCGGCTTATTGGTAAGTGATCTGTAAATACTGTATTTAGAAGAGTTTTAACTCGGTTTAGAAAGAAATTGACGTCCATTGCCGCAAGGTAGTTTTCATTTCCCTACACGGGTAATTACTTAAGCAATATTTTATTATCAGTGTATCTATAAGAATGCCCGCATTTACCAGAAGTTTATATTCAATTCCTATGTTTACAAATTGTGGAAAGTGGTAACAATAACAGCCGGGTGCACAAACTTTAGTTCAAACACAACGCAAATGCTTGTCCTAGTTGGAGTACCTCTTTCTACATAACATTTTATGTACCGTACCGAATGTACCGCTTTTGTTCATTTTGCTAGGTTAACTTGGTACTTTCAAAACGTAACCACATGATCATGTCCAATAAACTAGCGACGTATCAATAAACAGCAATCTTAGATTAATTAGAAAGAAAAGACATTATTTGTATGAATTCTTTTTCAGGGGTTCCTGGTTCCTGATATATGCGGTTTTCGTCACCATATTGTCGCTGGTCAGCACAGTGCTATTATTTACTTTAAAGGTAAATAATTTCGTTCTCTGTTCCCCTGGATTCCAAATTTCATGTGTTCCTTCACTAAATGGTAGAAGGGCGCATTGAAAATTATAATTTATTTTTATTTTTTGATATTGACTGACTGCCATTCAATTCCAATCAATTGCATATAATTTTATCATTTTCACAAAATCGTGTAACTATATTCTTTATATTCCAGGTGTTCCAGCACTCGTCTTACATCCTAATATTTCTGTTAATGCTACTATTTGGCTTTTCAATAATCACGTTGGCCTTTATGTTCACGCCGTTCTTCGATCGAGCCAGGGTATGTTTTTAAGTATAAAAAGAGTTACGCACAAGCTGTATTTTATTAAAAACATATTGTCACTAACAAATGAACATAAAATGGGTAGAAATAGGAACACAAGTTAATTCTGCGACAATTGGAGCTGTAATTCCACCGTGGACAGATAGAAGACCACCGATAGTCCGCAGTATTGGTGTAGTGTTGCTCATCCAGGGAGGGTATTTGTAAAATTAGAAGTTATCCTTGAGTTTGGGATCATGTAATGTCAATACTCGCTTAATTGAGCTTGAAATTATAGAAAATATAAACGGTTTTAGGATATTTTCAATACTTTTAAATCGATTTAATATTTAGCCATCCTAGTATGCTAAAACCTGTATCTACGCTTTAAATATATTTTTCAGACGGCGGGCATCCTGGGCAGTTTTGCTGTAAACTTGATGAGCGGATTATATTTCATACAAGTGTTTGTGTCTAATGCAGACTCTCTTGCATTCTGGTTTGTCTCGCTCATAAACTCTAGCTGCTACGCGCTAGCCATGGATAAGGTGGGTTTTTTACACATTGCCCGACATCCAAGTATTTATGTATGTGTTGGATGTAGAAACTAACATCACAGATACAACATAATTCTGAATAAGGAGACACACATATAAACATTGTCTAGAAGTTTCTAAGTCTTCTATAAAATAATATGTAACCACAATATTTGAAATCATTTTGTTTCGATATCAATTGTTCTTGATTTGGTTTAAGTTGTGTCATTAAAATGCTATGATAAAACTACTACGTACTACGTTATGTACTAAATATGTATTTCGAAATATTTCTTTGGTTTTATTTTCATTTTTAAATAAAATGCATTGTATCCAATACAATTACTGTTACTCTCAAAAACTATTAACTAATTATTTTAGCGACTAGACCAGGTAAAATACTAGCTACTCATAATACTGAAACAAAGGTTTAGCTCATTTCGTCGCCTTCAAACGTAAAAGTTGGGCGAGTTTAGAATTATGAAACACCTCTGTGTAATGTATATAATAATAATGTAATTTAATTACTAGAATAAATAAAATAAAAATTGAAATTCAAATATCATAGGGCAAATAGTGTTTGCTATGATGCTATAAGTTTAGAAATTGGCAAAATTAAAAAAAAATGTTATGGGTTATCGTTTTTCTCTTTTGTTTTCTCTTTATCTATGAAAAGTTTGTATTTAAAAGATTCCGAGTTTTGTGTCATAAAACTTCTCTATCCTATACAAAACTTATAAGCTATCAAAAGTTATGGTTCGCGACCCCCGTGCTCTTTTGTTTTTGGTGGTAATTGTAAAACCATGATACAGAAAAAAAACATCATCTTAGCGTATGGTGGTACGATTGGTTGCCATATTTCATTTAGCATCTACTATGGGTGCCCATTGATATTATAAATAGTTTAAGGCGACGAATTGTTAAACAATAATTCTAAAATCGGGCACAAGCGCCCCGCAACACGCACACACCCCGCTAAGTAACGTGGATTGCGACTGCGAGCCGCGGTGGCGCGGAACAAAGACATCCTTGGAGTGTCTTTATATTTTTTTTATGATTTACCTATCAAATTTTTTTTTATTGCTTGTCTTTTGGTATCTGAGGGGATTTCCGCACAGGAAAAAAAAAGGGGTGGAACCTTCATAGTAAGTATTAAATTATTGTGTGTGTGTGTGTGTGTGTGTAATAAAACACATATTATGTATACAATATTTACTATCGTAATAAGAAGTACCTAATTAAAAAAATTAAGAACAAAACAAATTAAAATTCTGAAAATGGAACAACATGGCTGAAATTTTCAATATAATTATCAGCCTCATATTCAATGTTAGCCTCTGATTGTTCATAGCAAATTGAATCAGTATTTTCCTTGTTATGGTTTTTTTGCGAAATAGTTGCATTTTCTAATTGTTCGTTGCAAGTATCGGGCACAGCCTTTTTATTGTTATGAACAATCACGTAATCCGGATCACGAATTGGCTTATTCCTGGTGTGCCTGGGGTCGACAAGTTCGGGAAGAAGACAGTCGTAATAGAATTATAACAACTTTGGTTCCATCTCTTTTTTCCAGAATGCATCATCTTTTTCAATAACCTCAGTTTTTATTTTATTATTGCCATACCATATACCCAACAAACAGCAATTTTTTTCCAGATATGAAGTTGGCCTTGTATCTGAAAATACCAGTCGCATCTTTGGTTAATAACCACCTCACCATTTTCGTTTTTATAAAAATGCATTTTTTTATTTTGTATTGCGTCTTCTAAGCCATTTTTAAATGGTGCAATAGGACATTTGATTTCCACTATCATATCACTTGTGGTGATCCCATCAGGTGTAGCACCCAAAAAAGGATATTTGTCGTCTATAAACAAGCCGCAATTTTTTATTTTGATTTAATGCATTGAAGCTAGTTGCTCGAGTGCTATTTTTTCATATTTTTTTCCGTGACTAATAGATTGAACATGGTCGATGCTGGGTTTGTAAAGCCAATTTTTTACTATATTTTGGCAAGAATTCGTCTGCTTTTTCTTTATAACCTTGCCAAAATTTGATGCGGTTAACATGTTGCGACGTAGTTCAAGCCATTCTGCAGATTCACTTTGTAGGATGGTCCTTTTTTCGATTTCTTTCCGTTCTTCATTCGTTTTTAATAAATTTTGTACAAAAGTCTTTTTTGCTTTTTCTAAAGTATCTTTATCCAAGTCTGGTTTGTCGACTACTTCGCCATAATCCAAATTTAGCGTTCTTGGTACCAATGTACGATTTTTTTTCTAATGTTGAGTTTGGCCTTGAGTCTTTTTTCATTTATTGCATTTTCATGCTTTTTTATGGACAATCTTGTCCCATAAACTTTTCGCTGAACAGTTGATAGTAATTTCCGGTATAATTAGTCCGGTAAGATCGCTTACACCAGCAGCCATCTACAATGACATCTACTAGCGGTATACCGTCTTTATTGACTCTCCCTTCCTTTATTAGCAGCAGCTTATTTTTCTCTTTCGCCAGCCTTTTTCATCTCATCCCATGCAGTCTCTTCCCAGTCATCACAGATATCATTATGCATTTTATTGTATGTGAAATCACATATATTGGGTAAACCTACTCCAGACAAAAATTGACTGAGCTGTGCTTGACCACAACCAGCAGCCATAACTCCAGCAACGGCGTCTTTGTATACATCAGCCAGATTTTATTTTTGTAACCACACAATGAACAAACATATGTAAATTCAGATTGCAAGCCTACGCGATGTTCAGACTCTAATTTTAATGTGGCTAATCCACAATTAAACAAAGACTTGAAATTGAGCGGGACAATCTGAAACAAATATAAAAAATTAGTATCAATATCGTGCATGGAATGTGATGGCGCGGGGGTCTATGGGTCATGAAGAGAAATGTGAATACCTAAGTTACTTACTTAGGTATTAACATTACTTTTCTTTCAGATGTAACTTCGAGAGTTTTTCCTGGAGAAGTGCATTCAAACGAAGACTTGGTCTGAGAAATGTTCAAAATTTCTTTAAAAAAATGGTTGACATTTTATGTTTCTTTCTTAATCTGAAAAAAAATATTAATTTGAAATACTTAATTTATTTTCATTATGTTGTGTTGGTTCAGTTCCGCATAGGTACGTAGGTAATAGCTAAGTGGAAATGTATTGTTGTGTACTAAGTAATAAGTGTAGTAATATACACGTATACGAACACGCAAGAGTTTTATTCTAATAGTGGTGAGTCTAGTGCCACCTAAAACATTTCTCCGGCCTAATCTCCTATATACTTATCTATTGTGTTCTTATACATATAAATCGAGTACTTACTGGTGCCTCAGTAGGGCGTTCAACTGACATTTCTGTAGAAACGTTACCACTCGAACACTGTCTGCTTATCTGAAAAAAAAATAGGGCCTAGTACTTCAGAGATAACATATTTCGACTAATACGTCGGTTATGTATAAAGAACAAAATTGTTTAATATACTCACTATAGCTACAGGAATGCCTTCGTTATGTGAGATATAATTGTCATCAGTATCAGCAGATCTAAAATAAAAAAAAGTTCTTTTAATTTTAACTGCAATGTCATTATATAATTATATTGATTGTACCACATAATCAATATTGATAAATACATAGTAACAAAAACTTACGCGGGAAACACATTTTGCAACTCTGCATAATTCGGTAGTGTCGTTTTGATTTCTAGAAGATACAAGAAAAAGTGTTTCAGTGATAGATAATATAGCTTTTACAAAACGTTATATTATTGAAATAGGTTTAGGAATTTTTCATACGTACCCTAAAAAGCTAGCCGACATTTCTTGATTTTTATTGCAAGATGACGACTCCATTGTTTTGTTTTTTCCATTTTTATTCTAATAAAACCGCTAAATAAATTCAGTGTCAAGTGTGACAGACCCGTCGCTGACAATGGTCAAGAGGGGACTGAGCGTCTCAGCGGGGCGAGGATTGCATACGCACGTTAGCTTATAACTAAAGGACGTAAACGACAAAATGCTTTTTGTTATTTTAATTAGTTAGAAATGATAATTTGCGAAATTCCTTCTACAATTTTAAAGCGTATGTATAGACTCGTCTAAAGAGAAAGTTAAGAGGCTTAAATCGGTCCCGTTTGCCCATAAAATGTAAATCTCTTTTTAAAAAGAGGTATGTTTGATATATTTTTCTCTGTTACAAAAGTTACCTAATCGTGTATTGAAAACTAACAAAATAAGGTTTTCATCATGAACTATTCAGTTCACCAACTTATATTTTCATTCGTTTCGTAATTACTGACAAAAATTGAGATCACTGATGCCAAAATTTCCAATGCGTCCTCTTAATGGCTAAAGATTGGTTACTATTACAGGCTCTCGTCTTAGACATGGCAGGCAATGGTGTGACCTGGGAAAACTTATGGAGTGGACCGGGGGTACCGTTTGGAGGAAGCCTCATCATGTTAGCAATAGACACTGTTTTGTATGGATTAGCTGCGTACTGGCTTGATGCTGTTATTCCCAGTAAGTGACTTCAGATGCGGGTATTTTAGAAAAATATTTTTTTTAATTGCATTTTTGGATATTTGCCAGTGAAAGTCTGCTACGTACCTTCTACGAAATTAAAGTCTTATTTGCAGGTGAATACGGTACCAAACAGAAGCCCTGGTTTTGCCTGATGCCCTCTTACTGGCTTGGCAGTCGCCGTGGCCGTGTCTCCGCAGTTCACTTCCACTCTAATGGAGATGCAGCACACAACAAGGATGTAGAACCCGTATCTAGGTAATTATGATTTCTGTACCACAAAGTTCTGAAACTGGTATAAGATTTAAGAGAGGAGGTCCCCGAAGCGATGGCATATATGTGAAGATTTCATTACGTATTCCATACCCACTAAAGTTTTCCCTATTTAACTTAGAATAAAAATCTCGCGAATTAATACCGTATTTTGAAAGACTTTCAAATCTTATTTTAATGTCGAATATAAATAAGTTGCAAGTTTGCAATCGCTCATGTCTGCGACACGGCTTCGAAGTGTGTTTAAGGAACAAACAAAAACAGTAATTTGTTTTTTCATAAATATTAAAGTACTTACTTGATTACTCAATTAATAATCTCTGTGATTTTAGTATTCCTCTTCCTGTGAACCTCTATGATTATACAATATTAAGATCGATACTATGCTTGGCATTTTTATCACTATGCTCAAAGGGCGCCTTAACATTCACCAGTCATGATTAGGCTAAGTGCCAATTTAGAGAAACGTCATGAAATAAGTGTTTAATTCTGTCGTACTCGTACCTCCATGTGAGATAGATAAGAATACTTGAAATTCGTAGTTCATTACGGGGCAGATTTTGAGGAGGTTTTATAAAACTATTCTATAGCACTGATTATAATATATGTATAGATAAAAATAAATAGTCGAAATATGTGGCACACGCAAAGAGGATGCTAGGATGAGGAAGGCTAGGGAAGGGAAAAAGTGCTAACTAAGCACTCCTATGAAACAGAGCGACTCTGTCATTTGCAACTTTCGAAATTTGTAATAGTGGGAGTAATCTAATCTTCTTATTTATATAAAAATGTTATGTTGGTTTGTTTTGTCTATTTTTTTTGCGTTATTTCTGTTTCTCACTTCTTATTAACGCAGTAAGTATGAGCCACATATGTAGAAGCGGCTAATTATTTATACTAACTACGTTTTAGCCCCTTCAAAGTGGATTTAGTCAAATCATGTCATATTTTTTCTCTGGATGTAAAGTATCCTGTATTTGTTACTGTACCTGATTGAAAAAAATTTGATTAGTGGTCCAACGATCTTATTAAAGTGGCGTATCACCGTTGGCGTAACACTTCGAGCTGATTTGTTTCCCTGTTAAATTACCGATTACAAACTACACTCGTTCTAAATTCGACATAATTTTAGTTGCCGGTAACCATTTCCATTTCTAGAAGTTGGAAGATTTGAAATGTCAAACTGAAATAGTTTTTTTTTAATATATTATCATTAAGGTTCAAATCCCATAAATTGTATATTTACTTTATTTATTTACTCATTTTTTAGAGAACTGCAAGACAAAGAAGCAATCCGTATCGTTGGTCTACAGAAAAGTTTTCGCCACTGCCGTCGTCCAGAAATTAAGGCCATTGATGGCATCGACTTGAGCATCTACGAAGGCCAGATCACGGCTGTGCTGGGCCACAATGGAGCTGGCAAGTCCACGCTCTTTAACATCCTGACTGGACTAACAGCACCCACAGCTGGAACTGCCTACGTTTACGGACTGGATATTAGGTATGACATAACCTCTATTGGTAATTTCCGATGCCTCTGCAGATAATAGTATCGCAATACCATGGGACAAATATTAACCATGCATTAAGATATGTATATGTATGTATCTTTAAGCTCATAATCATCAAAAGCCTTTAATAGCTGGACATAAGCTTTTCCTTAGAAAGAAGATTTGGCCTACTAGGTATATCACGATGGGTTGGCATAGGGTTTGTTTCAAGTTTTTCTTCTCTTTCCTGGGTGTTGTCCTACGAAATTTCTCTTAATCAGCTTTTACGACATCCACGGGATGAATAGGCGTGGTGAAACTCCGTATTCTTAATTCGTCACCACACAGTGCGTCAGCAAAATACTACTTTGCTCTTTTAAAGAAGACAAATGTAAAGCTGTTAAAATTTTATAATAACGAAAACAAGTGATTTGTGTTTTTAGATCCATTTATATTATAGTATTGTTTAAAATTCCGTGTATTTTACAGTGCTTTTAGAGAAATTGCCCGCATGCATGTTTAAAATCTCTATAAAAGCTCTACAATGTTCATAGTTGTCATCGTAGTCGTTCTCGAAGATGAGATAAGTACATAGAGACAAAGTGCACTTTATTACCACCTACAGAGAGAATTGCTTCAACTTTTTTTTCTATATTTACAACTGCACTTCTTATTGACACGCATAAATTTTTCAGGGACCCTAATGACATGCACGAGATTCGCCAGATGATTGGTGTTTGTCCACAACAGGATGTACTGTTTGATCTCCTATCAGTCAAGGAACATCTGCAGTTTTTCGCTGCAGTCAAGGTACAAATAAATCGATTAATTGATTAATAATAGTGAATTAATATTAATTATACCAATTTTAGTGTTGATGCTGCGGTGGTTCCTTTAAGGGAAAATAAAGAGAACGTACAATCTTTCTTTCACTTTTCCAATACTTCATTGATTATCAAGTACTGGATCTGTTTCGAGACATGAACTGTACCTCTTTATGTATGTGCTTTGTATTTCAGGGGATTCCTCGCAAAAGAAGATCAGAAGAAATACACAAAGCACTGTCAGAAGTTGGTTTGCTGGATCAATCCGGTGTATTTTCTAAGCACCTCTCTGGAGGGCAGAAGCGGAAACTTAGCATAGCCATCGCTTTTATCGGGGATCCTAAGGTATATCAGTTTATACAATCCAGAAGAAGCATATACTATCCTTTACGAACGCTTCTTTATGTCTTAGTTTTATCTTTATACTTTCATTTATGAGGATCCACTCTGTCATTATAATTTCAAAATCAAGTGTATGGTGGGTCAGTCTTTTCAATCTTTAATTTGAGTCAAAAAGTGTGACAGTAAGAAAAACCACCAAAATTAATATAAAAGTCAAATAACACCCAAAATAATTCTAATTCTCTAATTACAGATAATCATCCTAGACGAACCAACAGCCGGCGTAGATCCAGTATCAAGGAGACAGACTTGGCGAATTTTACAAAGAGCTCGCCATGGGAAGGTACTACTGCTAACCACGCACTTCATGGACGAAGCGGATATATTAGGAGATAGGAAAGCAGTCATAAGTAAAGGCAGAGTAAGTTATCATGATCTGAGGGCCAAATGCGAGTTTATTTCACATCAACTCACTGAAATCTCTACTAATCACAACGACAAAGGCGCTAGCTGTTGAGAGCGAGTTAATGTGAAATAAAGTTTCACTAGGCCCCCATAACTGCCTTGTGGACCACAATGTCTATTTTACTTAAAAAGGTAGTGAACAGTAATTCAATCAATTTATTTTTTACAGGTTCGATGTGCAGGCACTTCGTTGTTCTTGAAAAATAAATTTGGTATTGGTTACCATTTAACATTAGTTTTGGATGGTAAGACTTTTGGACGTTCATAAATAATAATATAATAAGCAAATGTTGCACATACCAACTTTAATTATGTTTACAGACATGAATGAACACGATTAATACGTAATATGGTATAAGTACGCCACCTCACCTTTCAATAACCAGATATTTGGGCAGGTTGCGCTGACCGTAGTCAGCCTGAGATATTTTACGTGTGTATCTATTACATTACGCCATTAATGCCCATATATCGACATAAACACGCGAATAAACACGTAAAGGTTTCTGCAATAATAGAGTCACCAAAATAAAGTAGCCCTTTTTTGTACTTTTGATATAAATTGTACATATTAACTTCCAGGAGCATGTCGTGAGCACCAAATCACCAGGCTAGTGCGAGGCCACGTACCTAGAGCTGAAAAGGCCCGACGTCATGGACGTGAGCTCTCTTACATCTTGCCACACTACGCTGTCCATCTGTTTCCACCGTTGTTCAATGCCATCGAACACGAGATTAAAGAGAAGACCAACAGACTTGGTAAGTACGACCAAGAAACACAGGAACGTAGAGCTAAAGAAAATTTATTTTATAAAAATTAAACTATCTTTACTTTTGATGGAGACAGTTGACCGTGTAGTGACGGATTAAGAATACGGAATGTCACTACCCCAATTCATCCCGTGGGTGTCGTAAGAGGCGACTAAGGGCGCAAAATAACGCAGGACACCAGCACTGCAAAAAGAAGGAAAACTTGATACAAACCCTATACCAACCCGTCTGGCCAGCGTGGTATAGTAGGCCAAAACCTCCTTTCTAAGGAGAGGCCTATGTCCAGCAGTGGACTATTAAAGGCTGTTGATGATGGAGACAGTTGCAGGCGCAATAAGTAAATAATTCTCATAGTAGATTATGCTATAAAACTTTCACATTCTATTATTATCAAAAACCATTATTTTATCTTCAGGAATCACCAGCTACGGTGTATCTATGACGACTCTAGAGGAGGTGTTTCTAAGTTTGGAAGGTGAAAATGCTGAAGAAATAGAAGCAGTTGAAGGAGTTTCATCGGTGAAGTTAGTGAGAGCCCGAGCCTTATCCAGGAGTTTATCGCTGCAGAGCAAGACACTTAGTTATCAGGTGTGATTGATACTTGCTATGATATCTTAGTTTACATGCTTCACACTCCACTGTCTGGTTTCAATGTAAGTATGAGGTAGCGTTGTGGGCAGTATGTTTATTCACTGAAGTCTGAGTGCGCTAAATTTGTCATACTTCATAGATTAGGGTAAGCTATTACATAGAATAAGGGTTAAATATAATAAATTATTATATATTTACAATATTCAGCGAATATAGAACTTGAATTATTATCCTTTCATCGTTACTGAACAAAAGAATATCTCTGCTACGTTTTTGTGTGCATTTGTCAGAGGATTTTGTTAAATCACTTTTTGAGGTGTTACATTTTGTTACAAAGATTAAGAATCTCAAAACGCTTATTTTCTACTAATAAATGTGTTTTTATTATAACCAGGAATTAAACGACAAAGACCCACAGAAAACGACGTCACTGCCCACACCACCTGCGTCACACGCTTTACATTCCACAACACATGGTGTTGAACATGTCAAGGTATTACCATAATTGCTTATACACTAGCTCTCAATTAACTTGTTTATCCCGTTTACCCCTAAAGCATGATAATCAACTAAGTACTTGAGGCTTAAAAGTGTAATTAATTAAGAGATAGCCTAATAAGAGTTGAATTTAATTTTATTATTCATGAGTCCGATATTAGAAGTTCGATAAATTGTAGTAATGGTAAAAGAAAAAAGGCTAAAACACACTTCTTTATCCAGGTGACTCCGGAGGTACCAATTTCAGTGGATGCTTTAGGTGAGATAGTTAAAACCAACCCATCATGCTGGAGAACGTTTTGCGCCCTAGTCTACATCAGGACAGTGAGGATGATCAGGGACCCTTATAAGCTATACGTCATGATCTTCATGCCTATTAGTGAGTTAATCTGAATGTTTTAGCGATATGTCTTTTTAAAAATTAAGAAGAAAAATACATATTTTAGGTATATTGCGAGTTTGCTTAACTTGGAAAGCACTTTTTCTCTTTAGATACAATAATTCTAAGACTCGACGAGGCTGCCGGAGATTGTCCGTGTGGTGACGGATTAAGAATACAAATTGTCACCACCCCAATTCATCCCGTGGGTGTCGTAAGAGCCGACTAAGGGAGCAAACTAAGCAGGACAACAGCACTGCAAAGAGAAGAAAAACTTGAAACAAACCCTATACCAACCCGTCTGGCCAGCGTGGTATAGTAGGCCAAAACCTCCTTTCTAAGGAGAGGCCTATGTTCAGCAGTGGACTGGTATAGGCTGTTGATGAAGTTTCCTAAACAAATTGTCTATCTAGATTCCTGGAATAAATCTACAAATGTTCATGTTGATGGAATTGACTGCAATCTTGTTACTTTCCCCCCCATATACCGTTTTCAATATTCATAACATTAAAGTGAAACGGACAAAAAGATTTAAGACAAACTCATAGTTTGACCTAGATGAAAATGAAAAACAATTTTTGGTATTTTTGTATTTTTTTTTCAGTATCCTGTGCGATTGGCCTGTACGTGAAGTCGCGGCAAATTGTCTTTTTTCGCATGCAACCACTTACATTGGATCCTAACGCTTACTTCAACAAAACTCCTATAGCCCTCTTCAGTGAACAAGACAATTACAAAGAGCTAATGGACCTTAGAGAGTCCTTGGAAAGTTTAGGAGCGTATCCTATAGTAGACTTTGATGGGAATTTCTCCAGCCTTCTTAATATGGAGAATTTCGGAGCCTTCAGTATTAAGGATAGTTTAATACCATACGGGAAGATCATGGCATACTACAATAGTACCTTCACTCACAGTTTACCTATCATCGTCAATTTGTTGGATAACAGTGTGTTTAGGTAAGTTTAACTTAAATTTAGTTGAATGCCACAAAATATATTTATTACTTTTTAGATCTTAAATGCTCCACATACTTCGTAAAAACGACAAAGTGAAGATTGACCTATAATGATATAATGGTTTGTATTGACATAGAGGATATTTTTGGAATAAAATATTATATAATTTTTTAAGCAATGTGGTTTTATTGCTTGTGAATAAATAAAGAATAATTTCGGATTCACTTGACTTTTGAATACTTATATTCTACTCATAGGAGAACAGCCCTTCTAGCATAGTGATGTGTTCCTTCGTTAAATGGATGTGCAACTGCAGGAGACGAAGACAGAAGTGGAAATCACTTACCATCAGACAAACCGTGACATCGATGGCTATTTTTTTTTGTATTTAAGGATATATTTAAGTAGACTGGTTATTGATTGGAATTTACTATATACCTATATACCTTTTCAGAGTCTTAATGTCAACATCAGGATTAATAGAGAACTTCAAACCCATTGAGGTGTTAACACACCCTTTCCAGCAGACAGAACAACAAGAGGAGTTCAACGTTGGAAACGTTATCTGTGCTATATTCATGGGCATGATCTTTGCTCTAGTCCCTGTCACTCTTGCTGTGGATATTGTGTATGATAGAGAGGTAAGATATTTGTTAAAAGAGAACTGTTTACTAACAAACACCAACCGAAGGTTTAATCCGTTAATCCTAACTACTTCTGAATGTTCTGGTATTATTACCTATTAAAAATTTAAACGCGTTGTCAGAATATTTCTAATAGTATATTGGCAGTACCAACATTTTTTTTTAGTGAATGGATTCGCCAGAGCTCCATAAAGACTATCTTACATCTCTTGTGATTATTTTATCACGCAGGGCGTCTGTGTTTGAGAAGATTATTGATTTGTTCGTACCTATAAACGTGCGCAATCGCATGTGGCTGTCTAGAAACTATGTTATGACTGCAAAAAACGTTCTGTCCTCTGACAATTACCTCTTAAACTAGGGAAAGCAATGCAGTCTTCGTGACCAAAGTTACCACCACCATCACTCACTATATGAGTGTGTATTCTTGGTTGCCCTTCTTCACCATTTAAAAAAAAATAGACCTGACTTTATTCTTTAAATTATGTTTGTTCCAGATAAAAGCAAAGAACCAACTGCGAGTGAATGGCCTATCAATGAGCATGTACTTCCTGACATATTTCACTATATTAATCTTCATCATGATCATTACCAGTGCCGGAGTTCTCGTTTTGGTAAGTATTTAAATTATTCATCTTGGATTCCAATGTCAAAGAATGCAAATTTTATTTATTTTATCCACAACTATGGAGCCAAGTGGAGGTTAGCAGGCCAAAACCTTCTTTCTAAGTTTAATAGTCCACTGCCTATGTCAGGCAGTGGACTATTAAAGGTTACTTATTACTAGTCTGAAAACAGCAAGTGAATATAGTCCATTCGCGTTAAGAAAATAATGACGCGTGGATTCATCAGATAACAAGAAATTGTCGTATTATTCGAAAGCTTGGAACATGATTGGTCAGGGTGCGGGGCATGATCGATGCATCACAATTTTCTTAACACTAATGGACTGGTTCTATATTTTAAAATTTTCATATTTAATTTACAGGTTATACTCAATGATATCCCCAGCTTGACAAATGGCTCAGCAATCACCATGCTGTCAGGTCTCCTGCTACTCTATAGTCCGTCCGCCATCTTGTTTAACACTTGTCTCTCATATGTGTTCGACAAAATGGATTCCGCACAGAGCATCATGCCAAATATTACAACCTGGGTCGGTGTTATACCATTTATATTGGTGGCGGTGCTTGATACTTTTAAATGGGGTAAGTTTGTTAAAAATACTACTATTTATTAGTTTCTCTTAGAATTTTGCAGATATGTTGACACAATGAAATTCATTTTTATTATTAGTAAGGAAGCCAAGGCGATTAAAATTCGTCGCTCTTATATGTAAGACCTAGCAATTATAAAATGTCGAATGAAAATAATTAAATCTAACACTGGAACTGTGGTTTTTAAGAGCTTTATTCTTTACAGGTAGCGACATTGCGTTCTACTTGCACCTAGTCTTCAGTTTCTTAGACGTCATGTACATCCCATACGCAATCATATATTACGTTGATAGGTAAGTTCTTCCTTTTTGTATAAATTGCAATGACAACCGCAAAATATTGTTTTATACTCAGAGACCCTTTGGCCTCGCCTGAGAGTGTCTATAAACGACTTTGCTATGAAGAATTGAAGGTTTAAATCACACTGCATTTTTGGCGGTGTCACAACATTATACATACATGCATACATAAATTTTTATTGTCAAGTACTTTTATAGCTTACTTTAAATTGGTGCCGTCTTAGCGATCAGTAAATATTAAAGTTCACATGAAAACATGTTAAAATTATACTCATTACGTAATAATATTAATCAAATTGATCGGCTGTTATTTCCAGGGTGTACCTGACATGCAACCTGCGCGGCTTGTGCACAACGCCGGCGATGAGCAGCTACTTCACAGCGGAGGTGTGGGTGCTGGTGGTGGCCATGTTGCTGCACGTGCCGCTGTGCGGCGCCGCTCTCCTCGCAGCGGACAGGCTCAAATCCACCGGCCGGATATGTCCTGTAAGGCACGACGATATAAGATTTAAAAGTTCACTCAATGCCCCTAACTCTGCAAATATAGTGTAAAACACATTTACTGATATTAATATGTACAGCTTCACGCTGAATTAGTTTTATTTGCCAATGTCAAAAATACAATGTTAAAATATTTACATATACAGTACTGAATCTTGGGCCTTTAAGGTAATATATTCTACTACTACACATGATTGCAGCGAAAACGCACGGGCTCAGCAGAAGGCGGTGATGCTGAAGCGGATGCAGGAGGTGACGGGGCTGAAGATGAAGACGTGAGAAGAGAGCGCCGAAGGGTTGCTAATATACTGAACCAACCCAAAAACAATGCACCGCCGCTTGTAGTGCATGTACGTGTCTTTATACATAAGTATCAACTTAGGCCAACTGATTTAAATTTTTATTTGTTGATGAGTAGGTCATAGGTTACTTCTCCGAATTAGCTGAGGTGGAGGTGGGAGTCGTTTCACAATTTCTGTCTTCTGAATTGGGGTGGAGTTGTATGTTGTGCTAGAGAAATTCCAGTTTGGTTGTAACTAGCCTACTGTTAAATAATGGCCCTTCAAAGAAACCCATTTATTTTAGAAAAAAAAACAATTTCAGTTTTTCTTCTGTTTACAGAACCTTCGAAAAGAATACAAAGTACGTGGTACTGGCAGCGGTGGGTCCTGCTTTGCACAGGAAGAAGATTCGTCGTCCAGAGTTAGATCTCGTTTTGTAGGATTATCTAGACTTAGTCTAGCTGTTGAGGGAGGCGAGGTGTTCGGTCTTCTCGGGCACAATGGGGCTGGAAAAACTACCACAATGAAGATTATCACAGCAGAGGAGTGTCCTACAAATGGCACGGTATGTGTGAATTTGTTTAGGTTGTAGATTATGAAAGATACGTTTATTTTAGACTATTACTGGCAGCTTATTATAACTAAAAATAAACAAATAAAATAATAATTAACGTTTACGTTAATTATTTTACGTTTACGTTAACGCGTTTAACCCTTAAATGCTGATAATCTTTGAGGCCTAACCATTCCGATTATAGTAAGTGGAAAGTCTGGCTAAAGCATATTCATAATTTAGAAATGCCTTCTAGTCTTTACTTATAAATTTCGAGCACAAAATCGTATAATTTGTAAAACTCACTGCTAACCGGGTAAACCGGTTAAACCTTATCCTAACCCTTACATAACATCTTAGTCAGCTAATTTAAATAAGCATAAGTCCAATTGCGATCACATTTTTACTTTCAATATGATTTTCAAATTTAAGGACCATATTTGTTTACATTTATCATTTGATCTCTAAAATACCTAAGCATTTACAAAAAAAGTTATTCTATCAGTTAATCCAACTTTCAATGCTCTGCTCTGCTTAGTTTGAAACTATGTTCGATATAATATTACTATTATAGCAGTAGGTTATAATTGCAATTGTTTTGTAGGTGATGTTGGGGAGTCAAAACATAGATGACTCTCAGACGTCGGCGTTCCAAATGCTGGGCTACTGCCCGCAGCACGACGCTCTCTGGAAGAACGTCACCATTCGTGAGCATATCGAGTGCTACGCTGCAATAAGGGGAGTCAGCAAACAGGATACTCCTAGGTAACAAATCTTTTTGTTATTTTGTTAAGTGCAATAAATTCATATTTACTGAGTAATTGGATACGTAATAATAATTTATAAGGATTACTTTAAAATTAGTAGTAAAATTAGTAGGCCAAAACCTCCTTTCTAAGGAGAGGCCTATGTCCAGTAGTGGACTAGTAAAGGCTGTTGATGATGATGATGACTTTAAAATTACTATTTGCCAAAATAGAGTGAATAATTATATATATGTCAGAAATAATAATAACAATTGCATTTCATGTGTGTGTAATCAATTTCAGGTATTTTTTGAGCAAAAGGTTTTTTATATTTCATGGTTTGACATATGCTTTTTATGTTAGGTTAAGTTTGTTACACAGCCCTGGTGATCTATCTTTTGTTCTATCTATGTTTTAACTTTGACGTGGTGATAATAATATGTTACATACTCGACTTGAAATGAGATAAAAAAGAATTTAGTTCAAGTGAAAAAGCTTCTTTCACTACCACGTAAAACGTCTCACATTACCGGCATGTACCATAGAATCAGTTTTTATTCAATAGTCCATAATCATCTTTACACCCCCAGGATTGTAGATGCATATTTGAACGGCCTACAAATAATGGAGCACGCGAACAAGAACGCTGACGAATGCTCGGGAGGCACAAAACGGAAACTGTCGTTCGCGTTGGCAATGGTGGGCTGTCCGAGAGTGGTGCTGCTGGATGAGCCTTCGACTGGCATGGACCCAAGGAGCAAACGCTTCCTCTGGGATACCATCTTAGCCAGTTTTCAGGTAATCTATATTTTCCTTTTCCACCATTACTATAAGTCTTAAAAAAAACCTGTCGAAAAGACAGGAACGTCAGTTAACTGCTACTTTTAAAATTCTCAATGGCTAAGATAACAAATAAGGAGTACCTACTTCAAAAAACTAAATTGGAATTGTTTGAAGTGTGCAAAAGCATTCGGAACTCGATTACAGACTACTGTAGACGACTTTAGAGTGCTAGCGATTAAATAAGTTGTCATTCGGAAATGGATTGATTAACCATTGGCGCCCAACATGGGGCCATATTATATTTCTCTATTTACCGTAGATTAATATCACGACCGAATGGCGTAGTGGTTTGTGTAACAGACTGCTATTCCAAAGGTCGCGGGTGCGACTCCCGCTCAAGTCAAGCATTTGTGTGCATGAACATTTAATGTTTGATTTGGTCTGGGTGTTTCTATGTATATGTATGTATTTACAAAAAAAAGTATATATGTATTTATATCAGTTGTCTAGTACCCACAGTACAAGCTCTGCTTAGTTTGGGACTAGATGGCGTTGTGTAAATGTGGTAGAATATTATATTATAAATATCATTTTTTTTTATTATCATACCGTAATTTTGTTTTCAGGGCAAGAAAGGTGCTATACTAACTACACATTCCATGGAAGAGGCTGACGCTTTATGTTCTAGGGTCGGTATTATGGTCAAAGGAGGGCTAAGGTAAATATAACTTCTTATTTAAAAAATACCACTATTAATACAATATCTCATAACTATCATATCACAACAATAAGGGGTTTATTAAAACAATAATACTCATATATATTCAGGTGTATCGGCTCCACGCAACATTTGAAAAATCTGTATGGTGCAGGATATACCTTGGAGATGAAGATTGGGTCAAACAATCAGAAAGTGGTGAGTATTGTTTTACTTCTTTTAGCACTATATCTGCTCACACAGCTCAGGATATGCTAAACTTATAGAAAGACACAGACAATTCTACAGACTTGCTAAAATTATAAAAATTGACTGACCGGTGTTATTTCACCTGCTATTTTCAGATGATGGAATCAGACCTATCGATGACTCCATCGCCGCTCAGATCAAACGAAAATTCGCCATCACTAGGAGAGGCTGATGAAGGTATTGTCTTTATAAGAAATGAATTATCTCTTTTTCTTTATCTTCTCGTACATGATTTTTTTTAATAGACAATTAGTAATAATGCAATTAGAATTCCTTATTTTAATTTTATGACTTAAATACCTCGTTTTTATGAGTTTATTCCAATTAGGAATCTATTATTACGTTTTTGATAAAAGAGTCGTTATAATGGAAACCAAAGAGATTTTTGTTTTTTTTTCAGTTGGAACTTATAGTTTAAATAAAGTAGATACAAGTTTCTTTAAAATTGAGTAACTTAAAAGACTACATATTTCCTTATTTTAACTTAATGTACCTTGACAATGATGTGTAGAATTCACTTAATATATTAAGGAGAATAACTAGATACATACCGTCACACCTCATTCTCGTTCGGGGTAGGCAGAGAGTTTAGAACGCCATTATCCACGATCCTGTCCTCCTTAAGGGGGCCCCTCGTCAGTACACCGCCTATGTGTCAGTGTATGCCTTTCGGGGCCTGACGGCACCGGTGTAATTAAATAATAACTAATTTTTCATCGTCATCTTTATCTGTAGCCTTTGTCCAGCATTGGATTATCCACTGCTAGACCTCTCCTTAGAGAGAAGGTTTTGGCCAGCTATAGAACGCTGGTAGGGTTGGTATAGGATTTACTAATTTTTGGATATTGACAATTTAAATTTTATTACATCTTTGGTGCATTCTTGTTCTTTGACGATTACTCTTAAATAAATGTTGTCAATTCAGCCAAGCATGTGCAGGTTAGTAATAAACAACTATTGTGACTAATATTTCTCCCTCGACTTATAAAGGTGGTTCCGGGGGAGGTTCAGTGGGGGGAGAAGCAGAGGGTGAAGCCGAAGCGGTGGATGCCAGTATACACACCCCACTTGTCGCAGGCACCCCACCCTCAGCCAGGCACAATCACCAACGGTAACTATAAAACACACTTTTATTCATAAACACCTTTTTTTCAGATAAGTGGACAGAAGGAAATAAATAATTACAATAATATTACTTCATACATTTCACACACGGCAGTCTAATCCCAAACTAGGCAGAGCCTATACTATGGTAACCAGACTGCTGATAAACATACTTATATATTCGTACACCTAGACACAGAACAAATGACTGTGCTCATCACACAATTATTTGTCCTGGGTGGCAATCGAACCCACGACCTCTGGCGTAGCAGTCATGGTCTCTCACCACTAGACCAACAGGCCAGTCTAATCTTCTAACATCATCTTAATATTAAAGAGCTTTATCGTAACCTAACTAATGTTATAAACGTGAATGAATATCATGAATTTGAGTCTGCTTGTTTGTTTCTTGGCACACTTTTACACTTTAACTACTTAACTTATCGAACCGAAATTTTGTATTCACATCTTTGGAGGTACATAAAAGAATGAAGGTTAACTTAATTTGATTTACAAAAATACTGGTTCCACATAGAGAAATAACTTTAACGACACCTAATTTTCTGTCAAAATTTAATATTTTGTAAAGCTAAAATAAAGAATCAAAGAAAAGGGGTTTGTGTAAAGTAAAGAAGAACTAATAATAACAAAACTTCGTTACTAGTAAGCAACATTTTGTACGTACTCACGAACACTATATTTCGACATGAATCCTTGTTGACGTCCTCTGGGTCACATCGCCATAACATCAAGAGCTGCTGGACACAGATCACTTCTTAGAAAGGAGGTTTTGGCCTACTGTACCACGCTGGCCAGACGGGTAGGTATAGAGCTTGTTTCAAGTTTTCCTTCTCTTTGCAGTGATGTTGTCCTGCGTAGTTTGCTTCCTAAGTCACCTTTTACGACACTCATGGTATGACTAGGGGTGGTGACGCTCCGTATTCTTAATCTACACACCACACGGATAAATACTCTAGATAAAGGAAGAAATCACTCACTTAAATTATTTTTAATAGTGATCCTAAAGTTTCCCGGAACACTTATACATACAACTTATACGTACATTATATTTAAGGACGGAGTCAAGTGGTGGTGCAAACGCAGAAGCTGCAATAGCTTTAGTAGCGCAGTTATTCCCATCAGCGATCTTAGAGGAAAATTTCTCAGAGCGACTGGTTTTCTCCGTACCGCAGTCTTCTGTGTCCAGCCTCGCAAGATGTTTCCAGCAGATTGAGGATGGTAAGACATTACTAGTTATTAATTTCTCCCTGCGAGCAGATTAAAATTGTTGGCGCCCCAACGTGGGGCAGAATACCAATGAATTTTGTAGCTTGTTTTGATGAGATGATTATATTCACGGCCTAGCAACTTTCCTGGCATTCTACTGTATTTTTAATAATGAGTATTTTGATTAAAGTCTATATAATAGTTTAGTTTAGTTAGTATACTATAATAGTTTAAATTATTACTTCATAAACTATCACGAGATCGAGTGTTAAGGATTTGAATCCTACATTATTTATTAATATTTTTAAATTTTTTATGTGATTACGACGCTGATATTTTATAATAGAGTAGTTTTCAAAGCTTCTAATGTATTTTTATTTTTGCTGTCATACAAATGCCCAAGAAAAGAATGCCACAATCTCAGGGTTTATGTATGTTTATTTGTGAATTTCTTTATTAGCAAATCTTAAAAATCCTTACATCTTTCTGAATGACAATAGCTATAAACTTTTGATAAATAAAGCTAAAAGGTCAAAAAAGACTGACGTCACAAACATTTTATAGAACGTACCATGATAGAAGATTGCTTCTAGAAGCCTGTGAAGGAGGCTTCTGTGGAAGGAGCTGGATGGGCTCACCTAGCTGACCTTACAACACGCAAAAAAGATCGTTTTTAAGTATAAACACGAAAAGTGAAACACCCTTCCAATAGAACGTACCATTTTTAAGATTAATAAAAAGAAACTCATTTAACTTGTTAACTGAAGTATTTGATTTCTACTCGTATGTAAATTCTCATTATAAACCATTTAAATTATTAACTAAATAAACGTATATTTCCAGCGAAAGAGAAGCTTAAAATTGTTGAGTACAGCTTCAGTCAGACGACACTGGAGCAGGTGTTCCTGAAATTCGCACAATCTGAAAACGTCGACTCTTCAGACCAAGAACATTAAACTTTGATAGAATTATAAGTAACTATGTATTTAACTATTCGACTTGTTTTCACCTTCTAAAGACTTTGGATGGAGACTTGTAGTAAATCTATTAACTCTTATGTAAACCGCATTCTAGTACTCGTATAATATTCCTTAAAGTAGTAAAGTGATAGGCAGAAGCTAAGCATTTGTACAGTTGAGTTCTGAAAGATATATAGTTAGATACAAAAGTTATTACGCCAAGGTAATAGGTTCGAAGGACCATTTGTTTGGTTATATAAATTTTAATTTAGTTATTTTTAGCTTATTTTAGTGTATACCTATATGTTCAAATGGTGTATAATTGAATGTATTAGTCTAAATAATATTGTTCATCTTAACATATTTAGCCAAAATATATAAATAAACATTAAATATTTATTAAGAGTCTTCAGCGAGATTTAAACAAAAGAAAAACATTCGAGTGTTGAGAAGGAGAAGCAAGTCCGAAGAGTTCAATAAAACAACTGTGCTTTTTTCAAAAGAAAATGTAACATAAGAATCGCTTCTGATATAAAAAAAATATGTTGTGTAGTTTATTTAGTTTTTGTTACTAGCGAGGGTGATTGATGCTTTTGATGTTCATATTGTGAACAATATTGTTTATATCGTGTAAAATAGAATAATAGGAAATATAAATCTTCTATTGTTCACAGTTATCTGAAATATATGAAAGCGAAATATCCTTTAACAATAACTATTTACTATCTATTGTCTTTTCCTCCATATTGTTCTATTCATTGCACAAGACGCTTAAATATGTTAGATTTAATAACAAATCTAAACATAAACTTTATTGCTTTCAATGAAAAATACTATAATCAAGCTTATGGCTCATAAATTATTATTTTTAACCTTTCAAGAAATGAGTATTGATAAAATCTTAGGGTGTATTAACATTGTTTAGAATTTATATCTAAATAAATTTCTTTGAAAGTTAGTTTAATAAAGAGTTGAAAAGATGTTTATCATATTAAAATTAATATTGAACAGCAGACAACTAACTCGATAGACTAACTAAAAATGTGTGAACAAAAAGGATAACTAATCAATAAAAATAGTTAGTAAATTAAAAGATTGTCTAAACTAAAACTAATGGTGTTTTCGTGACACCTTTTTAATATTAATTTATTTAGTATTTTGTAACCATAATTTTGTTCCAGGGAAAGGTGAGTAGATCTCTTAAATTAGGTAAAGCGAACGTAAGAAACAAACGTGATTTTCGTAGTTACAGTAATCTTATTTTGAAACTGATATTGAGACTTGAAAAATCATAATTTACAAAATCATTTAAATTGACATGAATGTCTATCAAATCAATCTAATACTTTTTAACCTAATTCATCTATTTATCGATTACATATAACGGTACTAAACGTAACACTTTATGCTTAAATAATGTTTTATCATGCGAATAGAGACAAAATTGAAAAAAAAAAAAATCCATACGACCCACCCCCGCTTCGTACGGGTGCAATATAGATACTAATATACTCAGCTCTTTATTCGGGTACTGTACATTTTATTTATTTATTTACTAATACATTATGCACCTTTGGTGTATTGACGGACTTAATGCCTCTACTAGTCAAAAAAGAAATTACTAAATTTTAACTCAAAGAAATAATAACTATTTTATATTAAACAATCATGAGTAAGTTGATTCTGCTCTTGATTGAAGCTTCCTCTTGAATCACTCTATCTATTGATGAAAACCACATTAAAATCCGTTTTGTAGTTTGAAAAATATAAGGATATAGCGGCGGGATGCGAGTTTTCTTTTATACAATATATGTATATTGCGCTACAGATGGTCTCCGTATCTGGTCGTTTCATATGCCGCACAGGTAGTCTTCATCTTAGAATATCTCTAAATGAATGTTCATGAATACAATGACAACATTTCACATAAAATAATAATAATTTAGCTATGTAAAAGATGAATAACCATTTATAAAATTATCCTTTGTTGGATGTGGTGTAAAATTATATTGAAAGATATTTCTGATGTATGAGGGAAGTACCTGTTATTACAGACACACATAGATACAAAATCATAAATATCAGAAACTGTTAGACACAGTTTTTTTAGTTCGCAAAGGCGCAAAAATATTGACATAATGTAATTTAAAATTCTGTCAAATTGTGCTAAGCACACCAAACGATCGTGAATTTTTGATATTCTAATGTGAACGGAGATGCAACACCGATTTTGAGCACGATCATAATTTATTTTCTAGAAAACACTATTCCCGTTATTCCGCCGCTATTTATCGAAATGATTTATTTGATATTTCACAAACTACAGCTGAACCACATTATATAATGTTAATTTTATGTTCAGATAAAATCTACCACTAGTATCTAATAAACGTTTTCTACAAATTAAAATACTTTCACACACATATACAACATAGGTACATTATAATAATATATTTTTATTATTAAAATTATTGTTAGATTCACATTCACTCAATAACAATAGTTACTATATTAATATTATTGATATTTCTATATTATTATTAATATATTAGAAGTAAAGGTGTGCACTACGAATAACCTAGGGTGGTTGAAATGACTAGCCTGTTCTCTTGATGTAGTGCAGGGATCCCCTAAGCGGTCGATATCGACCCTTGTGGTCGAAATCGGTTTCTCAGGGGTTCCCATAAACGAAAACTGATTTTGGGGTCGACGAGGTCTAAAAATCGACCCTTATTAATTAACTGTATTAGTTGTGTTACGTGTATCAACTTGTTATAAGAATGACAAATATTTGAGTAGGAAGTAACATTGTTGTACCTTTAAAAAACTTAACAAGTCGATAAGCGTGCAGTAATTTGGCTATGGGGGTCTGAGGTATCAGTTCATGTTAGAAAAGGAGTCTCTTGCACAAAATAGTTTCGGAATCCTTAGTTTAGTGGTTAGTGACCCTTTCTGCTAAGCTAGAGATCGGGGGTTCTAATCCCACCCGGGACAAATAATCGATCGTTTGTTATGTGTCTGGGTGTAAGTATGTTTATGGTGACCAAAGTACGAGTACAGGCTCTGCCTGGCTTGGAATCAGACGGCCGTGTTAGAGATTTGTCAATTTATTATTTATTGCTATAACTTCTGTCTCCTAAATCAAGATGTCCTGTGACTCGGAAGACATTCTCACCGATCGTATGAATTTATAACTGCCTATTTTTCCATAACTTGGAAGTTTAGTTAACCGTTTAGTCCCCTTAGGCATAAGTCCACTATTGATAAGTATAAAAGTCAACCGACTTATTAAAAAAACGAAATAAGTCTTTAACAAAAGTTCTACAAAAATGTACATCAAAAGTATTAATTGATTCTCGCTATGGAGCTTTGTAATATTTCCGGTCGAAGAGAGAATATTATCTAGGTGTGTAGACATAGAACATGTTGACAGTATGACGTTTTATAATGATTTGATACGTTTACTAGCCACTTTTATATTATATTAGGTACACGGTACTAAGCGTTGTGACTGTTGTTTCATACATGCTTTTAAAATCTTTAAAATATAGCTGTATATAAAGCGAAATAAGGTATAAAAAAGCTTGGTTTTCTGGAAAAGGAGTTAGGACATTTTTGTTTTATGATTTATTAATTACCTAATGTTTTTTTGCGTTGAGGGTATGGTGCGACAAATCTCTTCTAACTTTTGTTAGATAGTAAGTATTGTACGGTTCATTGTTGCTCTTTATTGCCTATTTTTACTTAATATTAAATAAAATTTCCTTTACAACTACGAAGGAAGACTAGTCCATTCCCGTTAAGAAAATAATGACAATTCTTGACGCAAATGGATTATGAATAGTTATTAACATTTGTTTTATTCAGAGCGATCGTCTACAACACGACATAACATACACAACGCTTACGTACACAAATAGTATAAAATCATTCACTGCATGCGGTCTAACAGTGCCTAACAACATATTGCTGGTTTAAACCACAAGTTTAACACCAATTGTGATTTCGTTTAGTATTAGATACACTTATGTGATTGATTTTCTAGTCGGCAACACTGTGTGTGTCATTTCATAATTTAAAAAGTTAGAATCTATGTAAATTGTTTTTAAAATCGACAATAAAATAAAATTAATCTGCTTTATTACGTATTTAATACATTGTTACTCTGCCGTCGATTCAGTGAGACCGTGATTATTATAAAATGACATACACACAAGGAGAATATTAGTATTATTTATTATAGAATTTTACAATTTCATATAATATGTTGCAATGTTTCATAATGTCGAAACTACGTATGTTACTGCGAAATGTTGACAAATTGTCTAATGAAAATTAGTCTTTAAATAATAATGACTATAAAGTAAATTATGATCTGTTTCGATTGCAGTGAGTTGTTCACCGTGTCGGGTGTGACAATACACTTCATATATCTACTGTTAGATTAGGATTGATAAGCCCGGCAATCGTTTAATTATTTTAATTGCTCTATTTGATAAATCACATTTATTATTAAATAAAAGAATTGTATAAGCTGTAATCCAGTTACTTATGTATACTAAAAGCCCATTTTCTAACTGCTGATATAATTTTCAATCTTTTGCCGTCCAACCGTCAAGTTGAGCCAAGAGAGAGGATTCGTCCCGAAAGTTATTTTTGTTAAATATCTATCTAAGTTATTAACAAAAAAATTGTACTTTTAATCATTCTAAATAAATGGACCGACTACTTAAAGAAAGTGCCTGGCAGCGCATGAATGAAGACTGCCAAGACCGGGATAGTTGGCGCTACTTAGGGGTGGCCTTCATTCAGCAGTTACTTACATTTACTTTTAAATTCCAGATCAAATGCAGAGCAAGTGTTACAGATAACTGTAGACCTGTCTCCAAACTAAGATTAAAATTAATTTCGTATTATTGATAACAAATTTCCTCCCGCATGCTATTTGATTTGACAAAGTGCGCTGCTAGAGTCAACACGCAGATCGTTTCGACCGT